GAGATATTAATAAACCGAAATCAGAGTGGAACATATAGTTTTCAATCATAATAAGAGCTAGGAGAATATTTCATTCATTCCAACAACCAAGACAGATAGGTCTCCTGCATCATTTTCCTTAACAAGTTTAAATTTTATTTTCTATTCTTCAACGTCACCAGTGAATATAATAAAATCAAATTGGCTCGGCTACCTTTCAAGATTGCGCAGGGAACTGTGAAAGAGACTAATTGTGATCTTTCTATCTTGTCAAAATTGTTGTAAATTCTAATGCTGCAAACCTTTCTGCAATGCTTGTAATTTAAAAGCATGATCTATCATACGACAGTCCTGAGATAATCAAATATATTCGAATGACTGCCATGGATGCTTGATTCTGAGGGTTTGACCTTGTTCTATATTGCGCAATATATCGTGATGAAAATTCCATCAAAGATTGATAATGATAATTGATGATAATAATAATGATAATAGCGTGTTTATTTTCATTTCTTATTTTTGTAGATGTAACCGACGTCTTGTCGGAAGACTACATCTTTATACAAGTCAAACGTACTGGATCGATATTAGAAAGAAATATCGTCTATTTGGTTAATGGTGACTTTAGGCTTAATATAATTAACGGTCGCTTTCTGTTATATGCGTTCCCTCCCTATTTTAAAGTGCATGTGCCGGAAAGGTTTGAACGGCGGATCGTAGTAAGATGTAAAGGTCCCGCTCCTAAACTCAAGAGGTCCATTGTCGATTTATGACTCTCTGACAGCAAAAACTGTCCGAAAGCTTTCCTTGCAGGAGGAGCCGACGGGGTCTGTTCTTCTAGATAACTGTTCTTGTAGAAATTTTTTCCTGGGAAAGGGATTTTAAGCTACATTGCTTACAATCTCACAAGTAAACGTGGCGCCCTTCCTTTTTTTACAATAATGTTATTCCTGGGAAACGTTTTTAAGGTCAAAAAGGCTTATATAAAGTTTTTATGGTCAAAAAAGGCTTTTATTTTTCAATTTAGTTAGGAAATTTTCCTGGCAAAAATTCTTAGAWAGTATTCCTTGCCTGGAGAGTTTCTTTCCTGAATTTCTCGCTGGCAGMCAGTTGTGACTTACAGCTGGCTGGGACATAAGAACAGATATATTTCTCCCAGGAACCCTTCGGCTCCTCCTGTCCATGTAACATTCGTTACTTGTTCAAGGATGCCAATTTTAATAGGTCTTAGCAGCTCTAAAGTAGTTTAGACCTTGCTTAGAAACACCAAATGAGAATTACTGCCATTCTGAGTTACTTATAACTGATGCGGAGTCAAATAGTTCAGCCTAACGACTGGAACGTTGACCGGATTCACGTTCCCTCTCATCATAAGCCTTCTCCTGCAACATATATATCTCATTCGATCTCTGAACTCTTTACTTATAGCGCTGTACATGATAGGATTGAGACAGCTGTTTGTTGTCATAATGAGACGACTGAACTCGTGCGCCTCGTGGATGAACGGCAATTGTGCTGTCTGCACTGGCTTGAAAATAGCCATGGCTAGAATGATATAATGAGGCAAGATACTTATGGCGTATACTGCCACTAAAGACGTCAATACTTTTATAGTCTTACGATTTTGCCTAGTACGGTGGCTTATTCGAAATGAGCGCCTTTTACTTTGTCGGTTCAAGCTGACACCAATCGAGATATAGCARAGCCCGATACAAAGAAGCGGGATGGCGCATCCTGGAACCAATAAGCTGAATAAAAACGTTAGCTGAAATGCWAGCTCGCTTGGCCACCAGTTTCTGTCGTTGATACAATTTAGCTGATCAGTAACGTGGAGAGAGTCGATGAATGGCACTAGTGTTATAATGGAGTATGCCCATATAAGGACGATAACAGYTTTGGTCATCCTGAAAATAAAACAAGATTATTACTGCASTTATTTGGTATATGAGCGCGATGGTTTTCCACAAAGATTAAAAATATATACAGTGGATCGATCTTGGAACGTATGTCCACCTAATAAGACATTTCCAATGTTCCAATAGACTTTTCCCAAGATGTTGATTCTACAGAGCCAAAACGAGGCTTTGGCTAGGTCGCAACCACTGGAAAAAATCGCGCGCATTTAAAGGTTGTAAATTTGATGTAATTAATATGGTGTTAGTGTCCAAAGTTCTGTAAATTTGATGTAAATGATTTCCATTAAATTTACAGAATTTTGGACACTTACATCATATTTACATCAAATTTACGACCTTTAAAGCGCACGATTTTTCCAGTGAACGTTTCCAAGTGTCCACAATGGAYCATGAAGAAAATTGTTGAGCAGGCAAAAAATCGAAGGGAAAAGTTGTATTCGACATTATTTAGGTGTTATCGTCGAAGGAGTGTAGAGAAAGTTTCATTAAATACCATAAGATAAATCGTTAGGAAAACTGTGGGTGCATTGCCTAAATAGATAAATAAACTAAAAACAAAACAAAACAAAACAAAAAAAACTTTCGACAGAATTAGACTCAAAGTGAAAACATGTGAGATTGAGGGAAACATTTTGCAGGAAAAAAATAAATAAATAAAATACGATTATCAATTTTTTGCATCCATTGTGAAAAATGAGAAAATGTTGTGACCTAGCCAACAAAGCCTCGCTTTGGTTCTGCAGAAACAACATCTTTGGAAAAGGCCATTGTCATGGGCTTGAAACAATAATTCACTCTTAATTAAAAATGGTCTAGAATATGAGGTATGTTTTATTCATGTTTTATTGGAAAAATGACAAGACTTTACTGAAATTTTATATGGACATGGTCCACGTGCAGAAACTGAATAATATATCAAGACACGTGACAACTGGAACATTGGAAATCTATTTTAAGGCGGGMAACCTTGACAAGATTTGATGCATATGATAGTGAGTAAAGATGCTCGTCGTTCCCTTATAGTGTTTTGAAGTCTATTGGAATATCGTAATTTGAGCTGGTACATTTTAGTGTGATTTTTCCATACTTCACCAGATTATAATTCAAGATGATCGGTTTTTACCCTGCGAACAGAGTGTATTTCCTTACCTCAATAAAAATTCATTCCTTCGCGAATTTTTATTGAGGTAAGGAAATACACTCTGCTCGCAGGGTAATCGGTTTTAATGTCATCAAACTATTCGCCGCAATTCATGGTTTGATATAGCCGACATCTTTTAGGAGTAAAAATAAATTACCAAAAAATTCCGCCTCGTCCCTTTAAAGGGWCATTTTTAAAATTTCCGACGATCATCCCTACTCTCGTATACGCAAAAGGAGTTCCTAAAGACCGCGAACCTTCCTAAAATGCCGCGGATTATTTGATTCCTGCCCCTGCAATATACATACAGTTGATTTAAGGGATATGGACACCGCCTGGAAAAGAATAAGGCTTTCCGCTATTGAATGGTGTTGTATAGAGAGGCGAGCGGGATGTACGCTCCTCAGATTGTTATGTAAAAAAAGACATAGACACGAGAGAGAATGTGACAACAACTCAAGGGCCCACTACATCAAGTAGAAATCATTCCCAAAAGAAGAAAAGGACATATTTTGATTAAATTCTTCACTTTTTTTAACTGATATAATTAGTTCTTTTTTGTTCGAGTCAGTTTGAACAGACAGAGCCGTTTCTCCTGAAGTCAGATGGCGTTCTATACCTACTTTYTAAATGTAACTGCAAACTCGGTCTTGCACGGAACAAATTTTAATCAAAAGAACGAGAATCCGATAAGCAGTGATTCAAGTACTATGCAGTCAAATCCAGTCTAAACCTAAAYCTAATTTCCTGTTTACAGCACATTTCTAGTCAAAACTAATGCGATGGTGGTCTTAACCATAGGAGGTTGTGTTATGCACGAAAGTAATGTAACTACAATAACGAAAGCTGGGTGCAAGGTCATAAGAAGTTTATTTAAAATCACAAATAAATGATAAGAACAATTCTGATATYTATGAGGGGTGGAGGGTTGAGAAATGAGCCACTAACAAACAATTTTCTTGAGAAGTTTTCCACTTCAATAAGGATTTGGCCAAAAAGCACAGAATCTGACACAGTTGATTTTTCAGTTTCCAATTAAAGTTCTAGTTATTTTCACCCGTTGACCCCCCTCTTTAAGCACATAAAATTAGATTTTGACCCCTCCCCCTCCTGATAATTATTGCATAGTCCCTTAACATAAATTATTAAGGGCGGATCAAGGATTGTAAGAAAGGTTTCTTAAGTGGTGGCCAGACAAAAGACACTGTCTTCTTAGTTAATGGAAAAATCKTATTTGATTTCATTTTTAAACTGGAGAAACGAGGGCCAAAAAGCAAAATGTTTGTTATTTATTTGAAGTTTTTGGCTAAAAACGAGATTTTCTTTTGTCAACTTGGTTGAATTTATTGGAAATATCAGAAAAAAACTTAGAATACTGGAGGAACTGTATCTTATAAAAGGGGGTATCATTTTCACATGCTATACTACTTTCATACTACTRCATGTTTTCTGTTTTGGTGTTGATTATTCATGTTTATACTTATTTGTTCTTGATTTTAGACGCAATTTTGCAAAATTGTAATGAAGCGCTTCAGTGCCAATTAATAATTACRAAGGTTTCATGATTCTAGAAAAAAAGTGTGGCCTATACTTACTTACAAATATGCAGAGGATGTAATTAARGGCGCCGAAGCTAAGTAGAAATATGATTATATAGACTTCAAAAGCTTCAATACAACCGTCAAGACCTTGAAAATCTAGCAMATGAGAATAAATTTTGAAGAACGTATTAAATTTCGTGAGATTCTATTTATTAATAGGTCAATTTACTCTCCTATTAAGCAGAGAAAAACATTAAAATTAATCTTTTTTGACTAATCCCATTAGTTTGACTATCTGTACCGCTTAATGAGGAAATACGTCTATCAATCAGGGTAATGCCACTTAAATTACTATAAAAACGTCTGACTTTTCGATTTTTAATTTATCATTGCACATGTCAGCTTGATGGCTCTTTTTATTGTGCCAAAATATGATATTTACTGCGGGGAATATTGAAAAAAATATTGTCATTCAGTAATCAAATGTGACGGTGATAGAAATTGTTTGTTGTCTAAAAATGTGCTATGGGCAATACTGACAAAGGGAAAATTATTATACTCATTCCATTCACAGTGATAATATTAATTTATCTTGCCAAAAATGAAGAAAAAGAGGAAGAAAAGAACACAAAAATGACGGCCATTCGTGAGCCATATTTACATGACTAAAAATGCATATGATAGAAAAAATATCACCGTAAAAAAATGTAGATGAAAATATACAGAAACACGTCAAGGTATTTATTGAATCTAATATTATTAAAGTCATACTGTTAAGATTGGTTCTGAATTACAGGAACTAAAAAAAAAAAATAAATAAATAAATAAATAAAGCACTCTATATTTTTTTTCTTTTTGCTGAGTACGAAAGTCAGTTTGTGCCAGTTCTCGAGATTTCCGACATCTGATTTGAAATGCAATCATATCAACTTGATCAGTTTTAATGCAAGGGTAAAAATGGTCGTCAACAATCGTCGCGCAAATGACGCCAATGAATTAATTTTTATTAAGCCGAAGGACACGATTGTCCATCATATGTAAAAAAACCCTGAAAAATTAAGAACCATTGTAGGAACGTACGGTAGCCATTAAAAAAAATTTGCAGAAAAATCCATGTAATTCAGTTTTTTAGTAAATCGGGCAGAGATTTTGTAAATCTGGTTTTCACTGAAAGTAGAATCGATTTTTTTTTCAGAAAACGTCTGTCAATCAAAGTTCCATTGAAAAATTGAAGAATTTTTTTCTCTTAAAACTGTAAATCATCTTAAAAAAAGAAAAACAAAATTAATTGTACATGCATAAGCTATTATTCATGAGAGGAGTTTTGATGAAAAAATTATGCTACATTTCAGCTCCTAATTACACTTTATCAAAATATTGAAAACATGTCCCGAAGCTGTTTATTTAAAATAAGAATTAAGTTCAGAAGCCACAAATATTGACTTTCGTTCTTATGGAAGTGCCTTCTCTTTCATTGACTTATAGAAAGTACCTCTATCAAAACTATTACATGCATGCGTGGAATATATATTAGATTAACCACAAAAAGGTTTGCAATACACTTTAGCGAAGTACACTTAATAACGATTTATTTTAGCACGTTTCCCTGTCTTTTCGGAGTATCACACGGCAACATTACACCTTGACTATTGAGCTTTGTCTCATGGGTTTATGAAAACCACTCGATCTTTCAAATGTTTTTCCCTTTGCTTGATAAAGAAAGTTAAAAGCCATTTCAACTGATAAATATTACACCATTGTATGATCTTTACTTCTGAAGCCACTAAGATATAAAATGCATCTATCGCCACTAATAAGGAAGCATWTTARGGCAAGCTACAGACAAAAATCTGCTGGAATATTGAACTTTTTATTATATGGAGGCAATAATTCAACGCTTGCAAATTTGYAATTCATGTGTTCATGAATTATCTAAAAACGCGCGCATGAGCAATTTTTTCACGTAAAACTCGATAACCCAGATATTGTTTATAAGATGAAGTATCTTTGCCAGTTCGTAATATCAGTAAAGATACATGATGTACATATAGCTCGCTATATTGGCTTCCTCGTTACAGCTTTTGATTCTTTTCCTTTGATCTTTTAAATATTGATGACATGATTGAAAGTCAACCTTGAGCATCTTRAAATAAAGAGAAGTGTTCTTTGTGAAAGTGTTATATTCTTTTTTCACAGAAAGCTTCTAGCAATATTCACATGATCACTGAACTGGTGTGAAATGGTCTGTATTAGTCAATCTAAATTCCCCTCAGAACACCTTGTCTCACGGGTTAATGAAAAAACACTCTATCAATTGTGAAACAACATTTAATTAAAGTCATTTCCCCTAATTATTCAGAAGTCAGTCATTCCAAATAAGAAATTTGAGCTAAACATTATGGTGCTTTGGATGAAGTAACGAGCAGAAACAAAAAAACTCTCTCTTGTATAGAACAGGATGTGGCTAAGAATTTCTTAAAGATATATTGATATAATAAAAAGACAGTGGTACTTAAGAATACATTAACTAAAATACGAGCATCGAATCATTCCCTTTGATACTTCATAGCCGTTTCTTCAAGTCTTATGTAGATAGAAACAGGAGAGGGGAGCTTGGCGTGGGGTGGGGTTAGGATTTTAAGTAAGAACATTTCTTGAATCTTGCCTTTTTATTCAAAAACGATAACTGGGCCATAGCTAAACCTAGAACTTATGAAGACTAACTCATTGATGTCTTAAATGTTATTAACAAGTTGCGAGATCATCTTCAAAACTTTTTTTTAAGCTGTCACTACGTTCATTATGGATTTAGAGTGTTAAAAACTTTTAAGAGAACAGAAATATCTATTGTAGATAACTGTAATTTCTTAAATCAAACGAGAAAAGAAGATGAAATGTTAATTTAGTATTTTTTATAGAATATTTGAAGGACTCCATTCATTACACCCAACAACATCTTATCAGGAGGCCAAAGGCAAAATATATAGGTTTCTTAGAAATAGTTGGATAGTGTTTGGTGATCCAACATTTATCTCGATCGATCGCTTGACCGAGGCTTTTCTGTTCTTTCTGGCATGTTTGGACTACCTTCTCTGGCTGACTCATGTTTTTTTTTAACTCTAGCGCCCCGCTATTTTGCGCTAATCCGTGGAACTTGTTAAATTCTATACAACTTAAATTCTATGGAGGCTATTTTARCTCCAAAAATGGAGTTAAAAACGGCAACACAAAGACTCCATTTTTAGGTMTCGCAAATGAGCAATATTGGTTCAGGAAACACTGACCAACAAACACAGTTTGAGGAGCCAAACTTTTATGTACTTGGCGGCAAAATGTTTGATTCATTGCGGTTGCCCTTTGGATGTTGTGCGATGGTCAATCAAKCTGAATGGGGTTCCTTCAAACATCCTATCCAACTCTACTCCWAATTCCTTGTGTTCTTTTGTTTTAAAGGTGCAATGATAAACCGTTTGGCCACCCAAGGATTTGTTTCATGRTCAGAAGTTGTTTGGTCGATCGCCGCAAGAATRTTTGATGYTGTTTTGATAAAGTGATATTGGTCGCGGAGCATATTTTCGGTAAAAGGGRAAGACGWCCACCGAATGTTGGATCAAGTAGAGTGGGGCCAGGAATKATTCAATTTCATTTGAACCTTCGAGAATATATTTTATGCACTGAATCTATAAAAATATTAATTAGTACAGGAGTCAAAATAGCATTTAATGGGATTTCCATTCTCACGAAAGGGACAGTAGAGCTTATTTTTTAACATTTCCTAAGGAACAAATAAAAATAGCAGAAAAAT